AAGATTCTAGATCTAGGGAAGAGGGAAGGTGGGGAGACAGTTTAGCACTGGGGCGGGTGAGGATTCCTAGGAGAGTAACAAAGGCCGCAGTGTGATGTCCCCCCTCTGTCCTGCAGAAGCGCATCCTTCTACACGGCTTCCTCCTGCCCATAGTAACGGAAAGGCTCCTAGGCCGGGTCCCACACTGCTTCAGTCTAGGGCCTGAGGCTGTGCAGTCTGGATCTGGAGGGGTGGTGAAGGAGTGGAAAGTGCTTGGTCTGGGTTTGGAGAAAGCTGGGAAGGTAGTGGGTAGGGAGAAAGAGGTGGGGGGGGGTGGGTGGTAAAGTTGGGTCACAGTCCTGGGAATGACATTCCTTTGATATGCACTGACTGCCTCCCCCCACTTTGCTGTAGTGAAATCTGTGCTGGTTAATAGCTCTCTTTCCATCTCTTTGTCTTCCCTGAACCTCTTCCCCACCCCATGTCCTGGATGTGCCGTCCTTGTCTCCCCTCCTCCCCATCTCCTCCCTTCCACGTCTCGTGCCCTCCTGCCGTCCTCCTGTCCGTGCCCGGCCCTGGTTCCGTGTGCCTCCTCCAACCTGTCTACCTTTTCCTTGCCTGCTCCTTCCCCATCCGTTGGTTTTCGCTCCCCACAGCAGAGGGGAAGGTGTACAGCTCAGATGAGGAGAAGCTGGAGGCACCAGCAGGAGACCCGGCAGGCAGCGAACAGGAGGAAGAGGGCTCAGGCGGTGACAGCGAGGACGACGGTTTCCTGGACAGTTCTGCAGGGGGCCCAGGGGCTCTCCTGGGACCTAAACCGAAGCTAAAGGGAAGCCTGGGGACTGGAGCTGAGGAGGGGGCACCAGTGGCAGCTGGAGTCACAGCTCCCGGGGGCAAAAGCCGACGGCGCCGCACGGCATTTACCAGTGAGCAGCTTTTGGAATTGGAGAAGGAGTTCCATTGCAAGAAATACCTGAGCTTGACAGAGCGTTCCCAGATCGCCCACGCCCTCAAGCTCAGTGAGGTGCAGGTCAAGATCTGGTTTCAGAATCGGCGGGCCAAGTGGAAGCGCATCAAAGCTGGCAACGTGAGCAGCCGTTCCGGGGAGCCCGTGAGAAACCCCAAGATTGTTGTCCCCATACCTGTGCATGTCAACAGGTTTGCTGTACGGAGCCAGCACCAACAAATGGAACAGGGCGCCCGGCCCTGAAGGGGCTCCCAAGGATCCTGGAAGGATCTGTCCCCGAGCCTGCTCTGAGACTGGGTTAGGGTTCTGCGGACCAGCGGGGCTGCTGCTACGATGCTGCCCTGGGAGAGGGCTCCGTCGGCAACTAACTTAGCGCTAGGTACGCTCTCCTGGCAACCTGAGACCTGGGCCCCTGGCCCTGAGCCTATTCCAGGGATCCTCAGACTGGGGGCTTCAGAGTTAACGGGGCTTGAGTCCTCATCACTGCGGAGCTGTTGTGGGCGGGGGGAGACGGACTCCTGGGGAGGGGGTGGGTTCTCACCCGCCAAGGGCCTGAAAGCTTCCCACTAATGCCCTGGGACTACTTCTCACAGGGGTGGAAAGAATCCAGGGTGATGCCTAGCCAAGCTGATCACAGCTCCTTATTTATTTTCTGTAAAGTTTGTATATATGGAGCTATCTGCCTCTGTCTGTTTGTCTGCACCCCTGAGAGAGACTGGGAAAGTCGATGTTCCGGCATCATTAGCCAGAGTTCAGTTCCCTCTTACTGCCTTGTGGGCGCGGTCTGGCCTGTCTGTAGCGCAAGGGCATGCCAAGAAACAGAATGAAACTGTCACCAGCCTCCTTAGAAAACCTTCGGCTCGCACCATCTCCCCCCACGTAAACTACCTTCACTTCTGTCCTTCCGTCCCGGTACCTCCCACAGTCCGCACCTAGGCCTCACGTTCCCAGCACAACGCTTCTTTTCTCTTCACCCATTAAACAGGCAAGCTTCTTCATCTCTGCCTTCTTCTCTTTGGAAGAGCTGGCAGACTTGAGAACAGAAGATCCACTCCCTTTTGCGTTACGAGCGAAAATGAGTACTTGACCCGTTTATTTAGCTGGCGTACGGCCAGGCCCCAACTAGGTAGACGCTGGCAGTCCTGTCACTGACTAGGCAGGGCAGTTTGGGGGGTGCACCGTCATCCACGAGCTCATTACTTTTTCCGGGCAGAGGACGCAGCAGCTTGGTCCATCTCTGCCGCGCTTTGGTATTTCAGATGTGAGGGCCCGGAGCACGACTCCTTTCTGGTTCTCTGTTCGTACTGCGTTAACTGGTGTCTCCTCCTCCCCATCGCGTGTTTTACCAAGGTTGGGGTACCAAATCCTCTTCCGTTATGAAACGACATTGGTTGAGAGGCCCCCCCGCAAAACGGATGAGGCAGGAAGGAATGATGGTTCTGGACGTGTGTACTATAGGAGAAGCTACAGAGGTCGGACCTGGGAGCTTGGGGGTTGGGATTCTAAGAGCTAGTTAGGGGGACCAAGTAAACGTGAGGATAAGAGACTTCAGGGGCACTTGCAAGAAACCGGGTATCCTGTGAGCGAAAGAAGACAAACTAAAGCTATTTGCCATTTCCCCCACCTTCACAGAAGGGCTACTATCCTGTACCAACTGTGGAGCGGGGCTGCACAGACACGCCTGCACAGACATTGGGGAAAGAGGATTATTACAGAAACCAGCTGAAGTTGGGATCATGGTAAGCGGGGCTTCTTGGGAAGAAACCTGACCTGCACTGATCTGGGAGGACAGCTAGGGGAGAGAACAGAGCCGCCGAGAAGAAAAATGCGCAGAGCGAGGAGTGAGGCTAGGACGCTCGGAAGATTAAGGTCAGGGAGGGAAATACAGGCTCAAATACCTGGCCGGCCCCCTCACCTTCCTTAGAAAACTGCTGCTACTCCTGATTCCTAGGATGGCAGGCCAACCAGTATTTACTCAAACATCTGCTGAGCGCCTCGTATGATGAAGACAGGCTTTCCTTGGCAGTTCCTTTCTCCTAGCTGGTTTCGGCAACCAAACAGCAAGCCGGGGCTGTGACCGGTTATTCGCAACAGGGTCGCGGTTCCCCAGCTCGGATGCAGGGGTCCAGGCTGCTATTTGGCTAAAATCCAGCAAGGCTGGAAAATTAGGTTAAAAAAAAGTAGTCCGGACCAGCCCCATTCCTGATCTAGATTGAGGCTGTCTCTGCCCACGAAGGGAACCTATGAGATTAGATGCTTTTTAGGGGCCGGGCCAGGCAGTGGTTGAGGATCACAGGCGCTATTGTCACTTTGGCGGTCGGGAATTCATGTCCACAGGTCTAGGGCTAGAGCAGACGTTCTCTGGTGCTGTGCCTGAGGGAAGGAGGCTGGGGGGAAACCGAGGCCCTGATTTGCCATTTTTTTCTGGATTTACTATGAAGCCTCCTAAACTATACTGGACAGTACTCAGCCAGTTAAGCAGCTTGTTTTCCTTAGGGAAAATAAGAAAGTTGATTATTGCTAGTATGTTTCTGAGCCCAGGAGCCCCTTCTTATACATACCAAAGGCCCTATTTCTGTTCTACCCTGATCTTTGCCTAAGGCTCTTATCAGCCTTGCAAAAGGGCTGCGGACCAAGAAAATACAATCTGGTTTCTTCTCTGAACAGCATTTACTTAGCATTTGCTTAGTTATCTACCTGCACTTAGGTGGGTTCCCATCAGAGTGCCAACCCCCCCCACCCCCACCCAGTGTACACTCATTAAGTATTGGAGAAAGACGGGGCCACCAGCAAAGCGGTTGTAGGGATGGGAAAACGGGCTCCTTGGAGAGCAGGGACCTTAACTTTGCAAGTTCTCATCCTTCAAGAATAGGTATAGAGGGGTTTCCCTCAGGTCTTTCTAGGATGAGGGACAGAGGGAGAAACAGGAGCTCAGGATTCTGCCCCCAGCTTGGCAGGATGTTGGTGGGAATCCAGGTGGTGGTTCTGCCATCAGTGACCTACCTCCTCGCCTCTCCTCAAAAGCAAAGCCGAGGCCTGAGTCCCCGCGGCAGTGCTGCCCTAGTAAAGTCCAGCCACTTGCCCTTGTGGCTTCCTCAGAACTCTTCTCCTGCGCCTTGAGCGTCTCCCCGTAGGTCTGGCTGTGTGAGCTACTTCCCAGACTCTTAGGAAAGAGGACGACACTTCTGTCCTCCTTCTGGGTGCACTTTGGCCAGCACCAGGTGTGGCATGAGGTTACTGGAGACCAGCCGGAAAACCTTTCTGAGGGTAGGGGTGGGGCATGTGAGGAGGGGAAGCAGCAGAAAGCCTCCAGTAGGAAGCACAAAGCTCTGTACCTCCTTTCGGGGTTCGAAGCCAGTGCTACCCACAAACTCAACTACGCTGCTGGCAGGAAAGGGCCAAAGGAAACGCATGTAGTGGCCTGAGCAGAGACCTCAGGGCCTCAGGCCAACCGAGAGAGGAGGAAGTCCCAGAGTACAGACCGAAGATAGCACCAAGAAGTAGAGCTGAAGGACCTTTCTGGAAGGGCAGAGACATAAAAGGGGAAAACAAGGCCACACACAGTCTGGTTTACTGGCTCATCACACACACCAGATATGTACACAAACATAAATACTCCAATGTACAAATTTACACGGACTCACAGATCACCCCCTCGTCTCTTTCATCCAGCACCCCCCAACCTGTGCCCTATCCGTCCAGGCTCCGTTTTAGGATGAAGGCTTGCAGGGGGCTGGCAGGAGAAGGTAGGAATCTGGAGGAGGGAGAGGTCCTGCTCCCCTCTCCTCACAGGTACCTCCAAAGGGTCCTGTCCCTTTTCAGTGGCACCGTGGGGTAGAGGGCTAAAATACCTCCACTCCCCCTCTGCTGCAGCTCAAATCCCAGATGTCTCCTCTGGTCCCTCTGTCTTTCTCATTTGGCTCTTCTTCTGTTTGACTCTTCCTCATTTCCTCTCCTCCTTCCTTTCTCTGTCTTGGCTCCCCCCAAGTGCGTGTAGGGAGGAGGGGCCCCAGGCCATGGAGTCCTTCTGGCCCCTGTGCCCTCTTCCTGGGCCTTATAGAAGGCTAGGACTTCGGTGCAGCTCAGCAGAGGTGTTGGCGCCATTGGCAGGCTCTCTGTTGGGGGTAGGTGCTAAGCCACAGCCCTCCCCAGGGCAGCCATGCTGGATCAAGATGTCCGCGCACTCCTGGCTACCGGCCCGACGGGCGTAGGCCAGTGGAGTCAGGCCCCGGGCGTCCCGGCTCCTCACGTCCACCCCATACTGCAGAAGGAAGCACATTTTCACAGTTGGCACGACATGGCAAGGAAGGTGTGGGTTCTTGGGGGCAGAACGGAGATCAGGTAGGTCAGAGGAGCCTTCGAGGGTGGCCCTGGCAAGGCAAGGAGGGAGCCCACAACTCACCCAGATGAGCAGCTGTGTGAAGACGACGTTGGCCATGGCGCTGGAGAGATGGAGAGCCGTCCGCCCATCCCCGTCGCCGTAGGTCTCGTTCACCTCCTCCTTGGACCCGTGGGCCAGAAGCATCACCAGCAGCCGCAGGTCGTCCTCCACCACGGCCCGGAGCAGCTGCTGTCCCAGCGGCACGTCCGAGCTCGGCAGCGGGGCCAGGAAGAGCTTCTGTTCGTACTTGGCCCGTATCCAGCGCTCCTTCTCCTCTCTGCAACCACAGGTCCATCGAGGCATGAGCCAACGGGCGGGGGCTGGGGAGGGTGGTCAGGGAATGGCAGGAGCACCCCGAAAGGGGAATCGGCAGAGACAGGGCACAGGACGGGGCAGTGGAGAGACAAACCCAAGGAACGGACGGCACACAGTGGGTAATGCAAAGGGTGTGGAAGAGGCTGAAAGGGAGGAACACTGAAGAGAGGCCCCTCGGGGGCAGCAGGGAGGTAGGGGGCTGAGAGGGCAGGAAGATTCCAGGCAGGGCTCCCGTGGTAGCTTATCTGGACCTGCTGGAACAAAGGGGGTGGGGGGCCTACACTAGGGGCCCGTGCGCTAGCCTATCTCCCACCCATTCTCCCCATCTCAGAGCTCAGGCTAGGGCCTTCACGCCACAGCGCGATAGGGCCCTGCGCATGCGCCTCCTGCTGGCCCCTGACCTGCTGATAAGGCTCAGAAAGGGCCTCTTGTTGTGAGGAGCCTGAGTGACAGGCGGGGAGGGGGAGGGGCACCCCAAGGGGCCAACTGCCGAGCAGAGCAACAGCCAGTTTTAACCCTTGGAGCACGGCTGCAGCTACTCAGCACCATCCCGATCTTCCCCATACCTGGGCACCACCGTCCCTTCCCTTTCTGGCCAGCCGCAGGGCCCCCCCCTTCATCCACTCACCGGCAGGCGTCGGGCCCAGGCTTCGCATAGCCATCCAGGGCCCCCTCCCAGACACTGTTGGCCAGGGCATTGCCCATGGCGGTCATGACAGCCAGCAGCTCGGGTGGCCAGTCATCGAGGTCAAGGGAGCGGACGCGGGAGAGGTGAGCCCCCAGGTGTCGATGGGTCCCTGAGCACTCAATGCACATCAGGGCACCCAGGTTCAAGCTGGCCCAGTCTGGATCTAGGCGAGGAGAGGAAGCAGCATGAAGTCCACGGGCAACCAGCGTGAGACCACCAGGGAGGTCCCCTCTGGTGGCCCACCGGAAGGCTCTCGTCAGGCTTTCCCAAAGCCACCCCGACCCCAGCCCCGCCGGCCTCCACACTCACTGGGGGCGTCGCAGTCAATACAGAAGCTGTTGCCGCGAACAGTGCGAACGGCCTGCACGGCCAGGGCCGCGTTGTGGTTCCCCACGCGAGTCTGCACAGCGGGAGAGACCGGGGGCGGGGCGGGGGGGGGGCGGTCAGTCACCAGGCCACCTTGGGTCCCACCCCAACCGGGCCTCCGTGCCAACCTTGTCCTTGGCGCTGCGGCAGCCCTGCAGGCTGGCAAGGATCTGGGCCTGCACGCTCTGCACCCACAGCTCCCGCTCCTCCGCTGTCGAGGCCTCGAAGTGCCACGTCTGCCCGGTGAGGGACACCAGCACAAACTCGAAGGACTCCTCCGCCTCTGTGGGGACAGGGATATTTGCCACCATCAGGGAGGGTGCCCCGCTGCCACACCTCCATCCGCTCTCCTGCCTGCCTGGCTCTCATCCTCTTCCCCCCCACCCCAGCCTCCAAGGCCAAGCCCACGAGTGCGGAGCAGCCCTCAAACCCCTCTTCCCGACCACCTGTGGCGCCTCGGTAAAGACAGGGTGCAAGGTCTTCGCATCCCTGGCTGGCACTGCCAGGAATGGGCCTGGAATTCGGAGCAGGGCGCCTCCCGGAGCAGAGCGGGGTGTTTGGGGAAGGATGCGACGGGTGCTAGGAGGCGACGCTGGGAGAGGGTGGGGGAAGGCGGGTGCGGGCACCATCCGTACGTGTCAGCTGCAGCCGCCTCATTTTGCAGCTCATTAAACCCAATATTCCTGACGGCGTCAGCGTGGGGCTCCTGGGAGCCGGGCCCCTCCCCCGCTACCCTGGCAGAGAGAGGCAGGAAGGACAAGTGGATGGGGAGAGGAGGCGAGGTTGTCCCCACAAACTGGGATGTGTGAGCGGAAAGGGACCTGAGGACGGCCGTGGTGCCCCGCGCTGTAGGCCGGACCGCGACCCCAAGCGACGTGGTGAAGCCGTTCCAAGCTCTGCTCCTCTTGGCCAACAGAAGACAGCGACACAAATCTCATTCCCAGCGGTCAACCACCCTACGGGTGAACGACTCCTAACGAGCACCGAGACTGAATGTGTCCTGGGGGCTGGAGAGACAACTCAGGTACCTGTGGGGAGGCCCAAGGCCGGAGTTCAGGTTCTGCCCCGGGGGCAGCCTCTCGCCTCAGTGACACACATTCCCTGGACGGCTTCCTGCTGGGCTCCTGCTCTAAGGGCACCTCTAACAGAAACTGCCTCCTAGAACAAGAACGCTGGTACCCTTCCTTCCCCAGGCTCCACCGTTCCACCTCACCTTGCTCTCAGTACAGCCTCTGAACTGCACAAACCCGGCCCTTTGTGGGGCTCAGTTCCTGGGTACCTGGGTCCCCTGCCACGCGTGCTAAGCATCACTACGCCACGGTAGGCTGGGAAGGGCGGCTCTTTCCCCTAGAGGTGATCTCCACCCACACCCCTATCCCTGACAGTCGGAGCGGAAATGAGCCACTACGCATCGAGAAGTTCAACTCATCTGGGAGCAAAGAGACTTCAACCACTGAGAAGAGGAACACTTTGAAGATACTTTGGGAGAAAATCAGAGAAGTGCCATGATCAACGCCAAATTATGAGAAAGGCCCCGTGGAAAACACTCGAGGAGCTGGAATTCCTTAGCTTAAAGACGACTAAGGAGAGACCTCGCCAGCTAAGACACACGTATCAAGCACCGGTTATGTGCCCAGCACTCAGGAAACTCAATGGCTGACACAAGAGACACAGAAAGCATAGGTCCTGCCCACGAGTCTTGGAAGGGCTATTGGAGTAGCCGCCTGCCGTCTTTTACCTTCTACAGGGAATAAGAGAGACGCTCACGTTTTAGTAGAAAGGGTTTAAATTAGGCAGAAGAAAGCGCTTTTCTAAGATCCTGGGTCTAGATTACCAAAAGAAGTTGTGGAACTATGGTTATTGCTAATTATTATTACAAAATGCTTACTCTAAACATGTTAAGAATGGTGTTGCTTTTAGGGTACTGTCCCCAAATCCCACAGCCCACCTCCTGTGCCCCAGTTTCCCTCTAGGTCCCCCTAACCTTCAGCAGCACCGCTGGGGCCGTCTGGTCGGGGGGTCCCGGTGCTCTTTTTCCGCCGGTGCTTCTTCCGGTTGGAGTGGGGAGATGGGGGAGGCTCCAGCTTGGGGCTGGAACTGAGCACCTCAGCTGGGCCACTGGCTGGTGAGGGGAGAGTTGGAGAAGTGTGGGAAGAGGGAGGGAGGGGGGTGCGCAGAGCGCGAGACCTGCCTCGTCTCGAGCTCCACCCTGAACTGCAGCTGGACCACCCTGGGAGAGCCCCGGGGAGGGGGCTGCCGGCCGGTCCCAATCCCAGAGCTTCCCCAGCCTTGAAGGAGAAGAAGGTGAAGGGAGAAGAGTGTGGGGAACTCGGATTAAAGGCAAGGCGGCATCGTCGTCGGCTAGGGCAGGGCTGGCTAGGGCTTTGGCAGCCCGGAGGGGTGGAAGGCGGCCCAGGGAACTCACAGGGAGCTGAAGCCCCAGCAGCTCCGCACCAAATTTATCCTCAATCACACTCCCCGCTCCTCACAATTAATAGCAGAATTAGAAACAATCAGGGAGCTGCCTAATTACTGTCAATTAGAGCGCGCTAATCAAGCTCCCGTCTCCCACACCCCGCCCGGCGCTCGCCACTAAATGTCAAACTTCATTAGAGGCAGACACGCTCCCTCCCTCCCTGCCTTCCTCCTTCCAGACTCAACAGAGGGGCCCCAGGCCGTCAGGACAGTGACTCTGGGAAGCGCCCTCAGCTCCCCGTCTCCAACCCTCCGTGGTCACTGCCCCCAGGGGCGCTTGCACTTGGAGCAGGAGGTGGGGGAGATCCCCTGTGCTGTGAGCACCCAGTTCTTTCCTGCCGTCAGAGCTCAGACGGGGGTTAGGGGGTTAGTGCTTCGAGGGGGATGGGAGCCCGTGAGGGGCTCCTGGGAGGCACGTGGGGAAAAGAGTTGATGGGCCTTGGGCCAGCCAGGCACTGCTGCCCCGCCTGAGGCAAAGTGGGAGGAACAGCTTTGCCTGGGCTTCTGAGGGGACAGGGAACACCCTGGACTGTCCTGCTTCCCTCACACCCTTACCTGGGAAAGGAGGGCAGCCCTGTGCCCATTTCCCTTTCAATCTGCAGAACTGCTGAGCTGTGACCGGAGGGTTAGGATACGGGTGAGAGAAATTGGGGGAGGAAAGGGGGGAAGGGCAGTGTGTGTGTGTGTGTGTGTGTGTGTGTGTGT